GCCATCTTGGGCCTCTGTGGGGTTCACCTGTTGGCGCTTTTACTCATTCCCCCATTAACACTGGGCAGAGTGACTTGCTTTCCTCTCCCAACGGCCTCTCTTGCTTTGTAAGCGGCACGTTTATACTACCTCTGTCCCTCCAGAAGCTCCCTGGGGCACCTGTTGACAGATGAGGAGGAGACGGGGCCTCCACAAGGCCTTGCTTCTGGACCAAGGCCACAGGGCAGTCAGCAAGAGGTCAGGTGAAGCCCAGAAGCCCCATGTCCATGTGGTCAGTGAGGCTGCAGGCCCAGCGTCCTGTTGGCTGGAGGACGGAGATGGGCTGAGGGCACCGAGCAAGGTGAGGCCCACTGCCTGGGGTGCTGGAGCCCTGCTGGGCATCCTCCTGCCCTCACACACACCACCCACCCCACCCTCCTGGAGGTGAGGTCCTGGGGCGGGGGCCAGGCCGAGCGTGCAGGGGGTGGGGCCGGACGGCTGCCCATATGCCCTCCCTGGAATCGGAGGGGAAAGGCTCACAGCTTCTTCCTTGGCCACCCTGCGTGGAGGCCTCCAGCCTGGAAGAGGCCCAGCAGCCCCAGCATCCGTCTGGGGGTCATCAGCCTTGGACCAGTCCTAGCTCTGCACCCTGCAGCTGTGCAATCCTGGACAGGCTCTCTAGTCTCAGTTTCCTGGAAAATGGGCCAACTCCACCCCAGAGGGGCATGGTGAGTCCTCTAGGAGGTACTGCCCAGATTGGCACCATTATGAGCTCTCGGCACCTGGGGGCGGCACCATCACCCTGGAGCCCCTGTGGGTGGGGACCGCCAGGCATCGCCAGGCATCTGGAGCTACAGCCTTCCCGGGCGTCAGAGAACTGGCCCCACGCCCACAGCGGGGTGGGGGTGAATGAAGGCGGGGACCAGGAGAGCCGTAGAGAAAGCGCCACTCCGGGAGCCCAAGGAAGGCTGTGGTTCCCACAGCACGGACCAGGCAGGAGAGGGTGAAGGAGCACCCTGAGGAGACAGGCCCTGGCCCCCCGCAGCGCCCTGGCCTTTGAGGGAGGCTGAGGCTTCCATTGGGCCACAGCTGGAGCAGGAAATGGGCCACAGGACCAAGGAGGCCAGCTGGAACCAGAGTCATTGATATTCAGGCTTCTAAAACACTGGTATTTTTCAAATAACTGCAAATAAAATTTTAACAAAAAAAACGTATAAAAAGAAAACCACCACCACCCATAACCCATCAGTGCAGATCCTAAAATCTGGGCATCTCCTTCTCCTGGCACGTGGACAGGCCATTTATGCTGTATACGCTACATCGGATACTCTTTCTAAAGACTCTTAGTTGACGTTTTACCATTCGTTTTTTCCCACGTCATTAAAAATGCCACAGAAGCATGATTTCATCAGCTGCCGAACCTCCCAGCGAAGGGACAGGCCACCTAAGTGCCCTTTTGTGGCGGCCGTCCCTGGCAGCTGTGGAACAGTCAGGAAGTGGAGTCTGCCCTGTGGGCCGGGGCGTGGGGGGGGAGGTGCGAGGGGGAGACGATGAGGCTGCCTGTTGGCGGTACAAGGTGTCTCTCGTCACCTGAAGGGAAGAGAGAGCCCAAACCTGAGCCCACCTGTAATCATTTTTGGCCTCTCCCTGCTGATTCTCCAGCTCAAAGTGTTTCTAATTCCTCTCTGTTTTTTTCTAAAATAAAGCAGCAGTGAGCATTCCGGGAAGTAAATGTTGAACCCCATTCTGGTCATTTCCCTAAGATCAAGAGCCGAAGTCCCGTCCTGGGTGCCCCGCTGTGTGGGGGCTCCATGGAGGCGGCACGCCTTGCCGCACATTAGGGGAGAAGCCAGGTGGGCCCAGGACTCAAGGACTGTCCCTTCATGTGAGGGTGCTGTGCACCCTGAGCCACGTGTGTTCATCTCTGCCTCAGTGGACCAGCTGTGTCAAGACTCCATCCAACCTCACAGTGTAATAACCAGGTCCACGCAAGATGTACTCAACCTGCCCCTCCGGGCCCTATAACCTCCTAGCCTCGTTCCTGGAGCAGGTGGGAGGGGGGTTACCTGGGGCTGGAGCCGCTGGTTTCACATACGTGGAAGAATCAGCTGCTCTGGGGGAGATTATGCTCAGCCAGCTGCCCCTGGAGAGAGAGCTCTGGGAGGTTTAGCCAGCCAGGCTTTGCCACTACAGCCCCACTCGGAGCCCTGCTCAGGGTTCCTACCCCAGCCCTGCAGGGACCAGCCAACCAGGCCAGGTGCGTTGTGGGGAGGGAGACTCCCCACCTTGCCCTGAATGGAGCCCCAAGTCCTAGGGTATCCCGAGGTCAGCTCTGGGGCTCCCCCATCGAAAATGCAAACATACTCAGGCCCTAAACTAAAATGTCACAGGTCTGCTGGGGAGGCTCAGATTTCCTGGCCGCAGAACATGAGCCTGCTTGATAAAACGATTTTGGTTTTGATAAATGTGGACTTTCTGTGGCAGAGACAAAGGCGCCCTTGAGTCCAGAGGGGAACCTAAAACGGCACATTGCTGAAAAGTATTTCCTGATAATATTTTTAGCACCTGAAAAAAAAAATACATTTTTTCCCTCTTTTTTTGCCCGTGGAGTTGTGTGTGGGGCGGGGGGGGGGGGTTGTTTTGTTTTTTTTTTTTTTTTTTTGAAATGTAATGCCCAGCAGTGGTGGAGCCTCATGTTAACCCCCAGTCTCCCAGACCAGGTACAAACTGGCCCAGGGTGAAGGATGCAAAGAAGCAGCAAGGCAGGGGCCCCAAGTAAGCACGGCCTCGCTGGGGGCCACGGACCTAAAGGTCTGCCTGTGGCTGGCTCTAGCCTAGACCCACAAGCACCTGCTCTCTGGGGTGGGGCCTAGGCCTGAGCACCTCACAGAGCTGCCCAGGCGACACACTTGAGCAGCCTGGCTGGGACCTGTGTAAACCAACCACCCCCACCATGTCTGGAGAAACAGTCCCTTTCTGGGTGCATGTAGTGGGCACCACTGTGTGCCCATAGGTATGCTGGGCTCTGGGGCAGCCCTGCTCCCTACAAGCCCCCAAGTGGACCCAAATCTAGCCCAGAAATAGGCCTTGACTAGGTTCTCCTGACGCATGTGCTCAGGAGAAGGTGCTGAAGAGGCGCACGTGGGCTTGTGCTCATGTGTTGTGTCTGTGAGCAAGTGTGTGTGAGCACATGTGACTGAGTGTGGGTGTGTGGGTAAGTGTTGTGTCCGTGTGTGTGAGAGTGTGTGTGCACGTGTGTGTGTGTCAGCGAACATGAGCAAGTGGGAACGTGCCCTTCCTCCCCAGGTTCTTGCAGAGAGCTGTGTGAACTCGGGGTTCTGTTCCCAGCACAGCCCCAGCCATCAGATGTCATCTCTGACTTTCATCCTCCAAAGATGGGAGGGCTTGACCTTTCTCATCCTTCATTGGAACCACGCAGTTGTCCTGCTGTCCTGGGGGTCCCCAAGGCAGGAGCCTGGCCTGGCCCTCTCGCAACCGAGTTCAGTGGAACTAGAGAGAAGTTTTGGGGGAACTTGCTCTGGGGGTGGGGTACCAGTGTGAGGTCAGCCCCAACTGTGACTGCCTCCTTAAATCCCAAGTCTGTCCTGATTCTAGCCTACACCTGTAACCCACAGAGTCAAACCATCACACTCTGAGGACCTGTCCACTATTTCTTCAAAACTGCACTAATGTTCCTGGCTAACCGCAGAACAACACTTGCTCACTGAAGACATTTTAGGACACAAAGAAAAACACAGAGCCAGACATAAAATCTCCCAGAAACTCAGTGGTAGTGCTGGCTCTTTCTGCTTATCTTTGGTGGGTGCACAGTTGTCTTTTGGAGCTCCAGGCCTGGCTAGCAGTCACACATCCCCCAACACCAGATTTTGAGAGCAGGGGGGATGGGGGAGGACCCTGCACTGAGCCTGAGCAAGGTGTGAGGTCAGTGGTCCCAGAGGCGGGAGAAGAGCTGGGATGGCCACGAGCTGGGGACACGGAATCTGGATTGTGGACTCCATCCACCAGGCCCAGGAGCATCTATCCACTTGCCCCCAGGCCCACGTGGACTTGTCTTCCCCCACTGACAGCCGCCTAACCCAGGAGTCTGCTGGAGATTTTCTTGCTGTGAGGTTCCCTTAGGACCCTGAACCTGTCAGGAAACCTCGCCAGGGATTTCTCCTGATGTGGCTGTGCAGGGTGCAAACACCTTGTCTAATGCCTTGAAGTCCCCCAGGCCAGGGGCCCTCACAAAACCAGAGGGGAGCCTCACCCCCAGGGCCAGGAGCAAGTAAGTGTCCACAGGCTCAAAGCTTGGGGAGCTGCATGGGGCTGGCCTCTGGCCACTTCCACAAGGGTATCCAGGCACTGTTAAGCCGAGTGGCCCCGACTGACGACACTCTGCTGGGGATGACCGGGTCCCTTGGCAGGGCAACGACCCAGACCCAACATCTCAGGCAGGCCTTAGGGTCTGTCTTAGAACTGCTGTGTAAGCAAGTCGTCTCCTCTGGGCCCGCCCTGGTCTGGCGACTGGCGACCCACGGAGGAGGAGGACGAAGCGCTCGTCCGCGAAGCGCTCACCTCGCCAAAGCCTGGGACCAGAGAGCCGCGCCTCCCCGCCGGCGCAGGCCCAGCCGGGAGCGTCCTGAGCGCCCCGGCCCTCCCGCGGGGCCTGGCGCTTTAAGAGCGGTGTTATTTGCATGGCCCCGCCCATGCCCCGCCCATGCCCCGCCCAGGCCCGGCGACCGCCCGGCTGGATATTTAAATCGCGGCCCCTGGGGCGGGGCCGGCCCTGAGCGCGGTCCCGCCCGGCGCCTGCCTTCCTTCGCGGAGCGGCGACCCGAGCGCGGCCCGGCCGAGCGCGCGGAACCCCACAGACGGCGCGCCGCGCTCCTCGCACCGCCCGGCCCCGCCGGCTCCAGCCCTGCACGCGTCGCCAAGCCCTCGGTCCCCACTGCGTCCCCGCTCCGTCCCCACTCCCGCCCCGCTGTGCTCTGCTGCGTCCTGGCCGCAGATCCCCGGCGATGCAGCGCGCCGCCGCCTGGGCGCTGCTCTTGGCCGCGGCCCTGGGGCTCGGGGTGCGCGGGGTGCGCGGCGCGGTGGCCCTCGCCGACTTCTACCCGTTCGGCGCGGAGCGCGGCGACGCTGTCACCCCCAAGCAGGACGACGGCGGCTCGGGGCTGCGGCCGCTCTCCGTGCCCTTCCCGTTCTTCGGCGCCGAGCACTCCGGACTCTACGTGAGTAACCTCGAGCTGCGGGGGCGCCGGGGAGGGCGCTGCGCCCCGCCGCTGCCCGCCGCCCCGACTCCCGCCGCCGCCGCCAGCAACTTGGCACCGCGGCGGCTAAAGGTGGAATGAGGACAGCGCTTCCTCCCGCCGGCGGCCAAGGCCGGACAGCGGCCCGCGGGAGAGGCGGGCGGGGGTGGGGTTCGAGCTGCAGCCGGGCCACCTGGGCGAGGGGAGCGCGGCGCGTCCCGGCCGGGTCTCACCCGCCTGGAGCCTGGGCAGCGTGCGCGGACCGCGTCTGCCCCGCGACTGGTCCCCAGCGCGGTGGGGGTAATCCTGGCCCTGTCCTGGTTCTTTCACAAACAGCGGTGTGGCGGCAGCCACGTGCTTTCCGGGGCCTCGTTTCCCGAACGGGGCACCTGACCCTTTCAGTTCCTCACCGGGCCTGCCAAGGTCTCAGCCTCCCTCCTGGCCACTTAGGCCCCGCCCCCAGTCGACACCTAAGGCGCGCTGCCGGGAGGCTGGGACCCGTACCCCAGGCAGTCAGGACAGGGCCTGCTTCTCGGCAGACGACCTCTGGGTGTGGCAGTCGCTGGGGTAGTGTCCCCTCTAGCTGTCGTTTCCCTTTCTCCCTTCCTCCTGAGTCCAGGAGCTGGTCACTCCCAGGAGTGCAAGCTCTGGGGCCAGGGGCTCAGGACAGCAGGGGGACTGCCCAGGCTGAAGGACAAGGCCCAGCGCTGGTTCAGGACAAGACACGGGTGCTGGTCCTGTGTCTGCTGCTCCCAGTGTGGGACCCTGGGCCACAGAGGGCGCGAAACATTCTGTCTCATCGCTGTCCTGCAGCTTTACTGTAGGAGGGCCCCTGGGCACTGGCACCCATCGTCCCCGAATCGAGGCTGGGAAAGTGTTGGGCCAGCCTGATGGCGCCTCCCGTTACGTCTACCACCGTCACCCCAGCCACGACCTCAGCCATTTTCAATACCATCCACCACCACTGCCGTCAGCCCCGTCCCCCCTACCCCAACACCACCCCCTGCACGCCCCCATCCACGCGGCCTCCTGCTCTGTCAGCTCTCTCCTCCCCACCACCAGCACCGCTCACATCTTTTGCACTATGGACATCCTCACCCAGCTCTGTCCCAGTGGCCTCCACCAACATCATGTGCTCCCTCCACCAGTGGCCACGGCACAGCCTGGCCGCGGCCTCTCCCCGCACCTGTGCAGGAAGGCTTCCGCACCTGGGCAGTGGCATTTGGTGATGACAGTGGTGGGAGGGGCAGGCGTCCTCTCTGTAGATGCCACCCTGCTGAGAGGCCCCCTGGACCCGGGCTGACTTCCAGCAGTACGTGGTGGACAGTGCAGAGCTGTGCTCAGGGGCCAGAGGAGGCCCATGCATCTTAGAAACGGGACAGCTCAGGTTGGCACCATTTTCACAGAACACCGTCAAAATGTTCCGTAAGCATCGAGGCCAGGTTCAGCCTTCCCATCAAAGTTGCAGGTGAAAATATTATTAAAAAGGTTGACCCTCTTAATAGCCTCACCAAAAACATCTACCCTTGCCAAAACAACTGGGAGAAATGGCTCTAAGGTGGAAAGATCTACTAGAAAAACAAATCGTTTCATGAGAAACGAACATTATGGCCACTAACAAAACGTGTATCTCCATAAAAGCTTTTTCCTAAAACAGTATCGGAAAAACACGTGCCCGTGTGGACACAGTGGGCACGCTGTGCCTTCTCTTTCTTCAGTGAGAAAGACAGTGGAATTCCTGAGGGAACAGGGCCCGACACCTGCCCGGCAGGACCGTGAGGGCGCTGTGGTCACGGAGGAGCAGGGCAACGGGTGGGGGGCAGGGAAGAGAAGGGAGGGTGTTTGTTCCATAGCACGCAATCTGGCCAGTGCCTCCCGCGCCCATCCAGTGCCTGCACCTGGACAATCGGAGGGCAGATGGGGAAACTGAGGCTCAGAATGCCGATTCCAGGGCCTTTAGACCACCCTGTCCAGCTGTCTCCTCACCCTTCCATCTCAAACTTAGTGGGACCCAAACAGAAGTCCAGCTTCCTCCCTGGACCCACTGTAGCCTCTTGCTGCCTCCCTCCTTTCCCTTGTCCCCTCATTGTCGGGGCCTTGGAAACACATCCCACTTCCCAGCGCCTGCGCGGTCCCAGCCCTGGGCCTGGCCACCATCCCCACTCGCCGCAATGCATGCAGGTGCCTCCTGGCTGGCCTTGGTCTCCTGGCCCTGCCCCCCGAGACTGCCCGTAGGAGCACTGCCAAATGTGAATGAGATCCTGCCTCTCCTTCCAGCCCTTGCCTGCCCCCACACAGCTCGAGGCTGGGTGCTTTGGCCCCCAGCACACCCTCCAGCCCCCTGTGCTCCAGCCACACAGAACAGGCCACGCTCAGGGGTGGCGCTTGCTATTCCTGCGGCAGGGGGCTCTTCCCCAGACATGCAGGTCTCAACAAGGGCCCCCCACGCCCCTCCCCCAACTCTGTCCCCTGTGCTCGCCCCGGACCCCACCTTGGTTGTTTCCTTGCTTGGTGTCCGCCTCCCGCCCGTGGACCTGTGTGTCCTGCAAGCCACATCAGGATGAACTCGTAGCATGTATGTATGTCTTCTGAGAGGAGGCAGTGGACATGGCTCTGTCCACTCAGTGCGACCCCATAGCACTGAGCACTCTCCTGGTGCTTGGCTCCTGGTTGCCAGACGTCAGTCTCCCCAGAAGAAGCTAGGGCTCTGTGGAGACGACTGGGCCCAGGCAGGGAAAGTGCAGAAGGAGCTGTAAATGAAGCACATTCGAAGTAAGACGCGCTCCAAGAATGGTTGGGATGTGGCAGGGGGACACAGAGGCCGTCAGAGGGGCTCTCTGGCCATACGGGGACAATCGGAGCTTGAAAAGAACGATAGCAACAGGTTTCCATCCTTTAGATAAAGAGGGAGCCAGGGAGCTGGGCTGGTAGGAGTCAACAGTGATTACACGTGTGACTGAGGGAAGCCGTGTGGGCAGCACCGCATCCAACTTCTCTTTCCTGACTCGGGCTCAGCACGTGCGCTTCCAGCACAGAGTGTCCTTGGTCGTGTGTAGAGGTCCTCATGTCTGGCCCTTGCTCTCAAGCAGCTCAGGAAATGTTGTGTGTAGGCAGACAGACAGACAGAGGAGGGGAGAGCCCGCACCCGGCGCACATCTGAGTGGCGTGTAGGTGTGGATCAAGTAGGAGGACGCTCCTTGCTGTGTTCTTGCAGTTTTTCTATCAAAGCAGAGTGAATGCCTGAATGTTCTCCTGCTGAGAAAAGCCTTCTGTGTGTGCTGCCCAGAGCACCTGGACATACACCCGGCCCCCGGGAGGCCAGGCTGGCCAGCTGGGAACGACTCCGGGGTTCCCGCCCCTTAGCATGAAGCCAGAACTTCGGAGCTAGAAGCGAGCAGCTTGCCAAGCCCTGTCCCTCCACACAACTCACCATCAGAACCTGGTGCACTCATTCTGCATCGACGTGTTCATTCATTCATTCCACATCCTCAACCAAGCCCTTGCACTGAGGCAAGAAATAGCAGCAGTGTTTTGGTTTTAGTATTAAAATCATTTCTGGGAGCACCTTGGGGGCTCTGTCAGTTAAGCGTCCGACTCTTGGTTTCAGTGCAGGTCATGATCTCAGGGTCATGGGATTGAGCCGCACACTGGGCTCTGTGCTCAGCGTGGAGTTGGCTTGAGACTCTCTCCCTTCTCCCCTCTAAAACAAACTCATTTCTATTTTGTTCACTGTGCTGTCCCAGCTTCCAGAGGAGAGCTAGCTCCTGGAAGCTGCTCTGTCGATGTCTGTTGTTCGTTTTCTGATCAGCGGGTTGATACATCCATAATCCCACCATCCAAAAATAAGCACTTTCAACATTTCACTGAAATTCTTCTTGATCTGTTTTCAAGCATACTTAGGGTCCTACACGACAAATCTGGGGCTGCCACTTCATACAATTCCTATTTCCCATATTTCTTTCGCTATTTTATGCCATGAGCATTCCCCATGCCTTAAATTTGTAGAAACGTGCTTTCTGGGGACAGTCCAATATTCCATCCTGTGGCTAGATCATGATTATTTGAATTGGTTGCTCCATTGAGTGTTGATTGAGTGGGTGGTCTCAGTGGTCCCCAAGAATTAATGATGCTCTGGCGCAGGTGCACCCTATCCATGCCTTTACACGGGGCTCCTGTCCTTTCCTTACAATACATTCCTCCAAGTGGGATGACTGGGTCTGAAGGAATGCATCGCCCTACTGCCCCCTGCCACCCGGAGGGGCATCTTCACCGGCACCCTCCTCTCCTGGCCCCCAGGGATGCTGCTCCCATGGGTCGGTGGGCAGGCAGGGGGAAGGTACCAGACTGGTTTCTCCCCATCCCTCGTCTCGGGGCTGGGGCGGGGGGGGGGGGGAGGGCAGCCTTAGAGCCTCAACATCCATAAACTGGTTCTTTACAAAGTGAGGCGAGTTGTTCCTTAAACACCTACTGTGCGCGTAGCCACTGCCCTGCTCCCCAGCCCCAGGACTCAGCTGAGACACCAGTCTGAACTGCGCGGGCTGAGTGCAGGTGGGAGGAGGGGGAACATGACAGGGTCCAGGCTTGGGTCCCTGGACCCAAACCCTCCGCACAGCAGAGCAGCCCGGGACCACACTGTCCTCCGAGCTGGTCCAGGGGTAGACCAAAGCCAGCACAGTCCCTCAGACCCTTGTAGGCTACTCTGGTCAGAGGGGGCATTGGCACAGGCAGCTTCAGAGGCTTGCTAGGGACGGGGTCTGGGATGAAGCTGGGGCCCAAAGGAGTGACTACTGTCCCCAGAAGAGGGACGGGCAGGGTGAGTCCGGGTGTATGTGTGGAGCAGGGACACGCCAGGCTTGCATTTGGGGTGCACCTCGACTGTGGTGGCTACAGGATGGCAGCGGACCCCATGGGGGTTGCAGGGTGGCTGAAAGGAGGCACCTCTGTCTGAGGACCAGGCCAAGGGGCAGCAAGGTCTCAGGAGA